CTTTAGGTGGCTCTCTAAAGAAGTATCAACAGTGTCCGTAAAGATGTAGACACAGACCATACACAGATAGAAGACTGACCATGTGAGGGGTTTGAGGGCACAGTGAGGGGCAACCATCTATATGTCAAGAAGAGAGATCTAAGAAGGAACCATATTGGCCAACATCTTGATCTTGGGCTTCTAGATAGCACCCAGCCACTTTGACAGAGAATAATAAAGGAGAAAGAATGCAGGTATCAGTGAAATATATCTGGGTCTAAATCCTAGCAGTGTCACTTACTGGAGATGCAGTAGTATACAGTGGTTAGAAGTACAGGCTCTGGAGCCACGTAAACTGGGCTCTAGTGTTGACACTTAAAGCTAAGCAACCTGCCGGGCGCGGTGGCTCAAGCCTGTAATCCCAGCACTTTGGGAGGCCGAGGCGGGTGGATCACGAGGTCAAGAGATCGAGACCATCCTGGTCAACATGGTGAAACCCCGTCTCTACTAAAAAAGTGCAAAAAATTAGCTGGGCATGGTGGCACGTGCCTGTAATCCCAGCTACTCAGGAGGCTGAGGCAGAAGAATTGCCTGAACCCAGGAGGCGGAGGTTGCGGTGAGCCGAGATCGCGCCATTGCACTCCAGCCTGGGTAACAAGAGCGAAACTCCGTCTCAAAAAAAAAAAAAAAAAAAAAAAAAAAGCTAAGCAACCTTACACAAGTTATTTACCCTACCTGTGCCTCTGTTTCCTCATTGGTAATATATAAGTAACACCTATCTCATACAGTTTGTAAGGCTTAAATTATTACACTTTAAACACTGAGGACAGTGCCTGGCAAATAGTAACTGCTCAATGACTATAAGAAGGGGCTGTCACAGGCATGGTGGTGCTACTTAGAAAGCTACTTAGAAAGCTGAGACACAAAAATCACTTAAACCAGGGGGCGGAGGTTGCAGTGAGCCAAGATCCTGCCACTGCACTCCAGCATGGGCAACGAGAGTGAAACTCCGTCTCAAAACCAAAAACCAAAAACAACAAAAAGACAAAGTAAGGGCTGAGGTATTGATATTCACTATTTTTTAACCTGGGTAGGTTATTACTACTATTATTGTTTCTTTGTTACTGCTACTACTGATACTGCAAGTTACCTAAATTCACTAAGTCTCAGTTGTTTTCATCTATAAAGTATCAAAAGATGGTTAATATTCAATGTTTTAGCTGTGAATTCCTACCCAAATTTTGAAAAAGACAATGACACTGTATTTAAGATGAATACATAAGCAAGCATTGCCTAGATACTCAACACAATTTTAGAATATGTGATTAAGAAGATGGTTTATGACATCGTAGATAAGAAAGCAACAATAATTAGAAGCCAGTATATGCTCATTAAGACTAATACATGATATACTAACCTTATTATTTACTCCTAACATAGGGTCAGTTGTTTCAGAAAAGACAGCTGTGATTTCACTCTGATCTTAGTAAAGTATTCAAATATCAATTTCAATAACCATCTTATAGAATGTGATTGTTAGTCTGAGTTAAATTTCAGCAAAATTAAGTGAATTTGTAGCTGTATGAAAAACCTAACCCAAAAATCTTAATTAATGAATAAGACAACCAGGTACAGTGACTCATGTCTGTAATCCCAGCACTTTGGGAGGCCAAGGTGGGCAGATCCATCACTTGAGGTAGGAGTTTGAGACACCCTGGTCAACATGCCGAAACCTCATCTCTACTAAAGATACAAAAAACAGCCAGGCATGGTGGAAGGCGCCAGTAGTCCCAGCTCCGGACTCAGGAGGCTGAGGCAGGAAAATAACCAGCCTGGGCAAGATGGTGAAGTCCCACCTCTACTAAAAGTTACAAGTAGGCAGGGCGTGGTGGCTCACGCCTGTAATCCCAGCACTTTGGGAGGCTGAGGAGGGTGGATCACCAGGTCAACAGATTGAGACCATCCTGGTCAACGTGGTAAAACCCCGTCTCTACTAAAAATACAAAAAATTAGCTGGGCATGGTGGCACGTGCCTGTAATCCCAGCTACTGAGGAGGCTGAGGCAGGAGAATTGCTTGAACCCAGGAGGCGGAGGTTGCAGTGAGCCGAGATAGTGCCATTGCACTCCAGCCTGGGTAACAACAGCGAAATTCCGTCTCAAAAAAAAAAAAAAAAGTTACAGGTAATTAGCCAGACATAGTGGCACAAGCCTGTGGTCCCAGATACTTGGGAGACTGAAGTGGGAGCATCACCTGACCCAGGAAGTCAAGGCTGCAGTGAACTGTGACTGCACAACTGCACAATAGCCTGGATGGGAGTGAAAAAAACAATTCACTGTCAAAAGAAGTATGCTGATCCTTGAACAACCTGAGTTTGAATTGTATTGGCACATTAATACACAAATTTTCTGCCACCTCTGCGACACAAAGACTCCCTCTTCTTCCTCAGCTCGGAAGATAATGAGGATGAAGACATTTTCTCTTCCTTACAATTTTCTTAATAACATTTTCTTTTTTTCTAGCTTATTTTATTGTAAGACTACAGCATAAAGCCAGGTGAAATGGCTCACGCCTTTAAGACCAACACTTTGGCAGGCCAAGGTGGGATGACTGCTTTCACGTCAGGACCAGCCTTGGCAACATAAATGAGACCTCATCTCTTAACAAAAAGGAGAAAAATAGCTGGGCATGGTGGTACATGCCTGTAGTCCTAGCTACTCAGTGGGTTGAGATGGGAGGATCACCTGAGCTCAGGAGTTCAAGGCTTCACTGAGCTATCATAGTATTACTGCACTCCAGCCTGGGCAGTAGAGTAAGATCCTGCCCAAAAAAACACAATACAGAATACATATTAACATATAAAATATGTATTGACTGTTTACATTATTGGTAAGGCTCTGGTCAACAGTAGGTTATTAGTGTTAAGTTTTTGGAGAGTCAAAAGTTGTATGTGGACTTTCAACTACACTGGGGAGTCACTATCCCTAAACCGCACATTGTTCAAGGGTCAACTACATGAATAGAATTCTGAAGAAATAACAAAAACCTATCTTCACTTCTGGTTTTTATCCTTTTTTTTTTTTTTTTTTTTTTTTTGAGGCAGAGTCTCACTCTGTCGCCCAGGCTGGAGTGCAATGGCGCAGTCTCAGCTCAATGCAACCTCTGCCTCCTGGATTCAAGTGATTCTCCTCCTCAGCCTCCCGAGTTGCTAAGATTACAGGCACCTGCCACCATGCCTGGCTAATTTTTTGTATTTTTAATAGAGACAGGGTTTCACCATGCTGGCCTGGCTGGTCTCGAACTCCTGACCTTGTGCTCTAACCACCTCGGCCTCTCAAAGTGGTGGGATTACAGGCGTGAGCCACTGTGCCGAGCTTCTATTTCATGAAGAACAGATAAAGGTGATCAAGCTGATGATAAATATCATATAACATCATATAAGATAAACTAGAAATAGCTGCCCTAGATAATGACTGAGCGTTTGTACTTGCACATATAAGGGAACACAGTATCTATTTCCAACTGAAAAAATACAAAAAATAACATGAGAAAGCAAAAAGATGAGGAGGCACTTTATGACAACGAGAGCTCCTCAGAAGAATGAAGTAAAGATACATAGCAAGGTTCCTATCAACAGAGGCTGATGACAACCCATTAGGAATTCATAGATAGAAATTCAGGTTCATGAAAGATTTCATCTTTGTTTTATGATAATACTAGAATATTTTTTCAGTTTATATAAATCCAGAAACTTTTTAAAATTTCTAATTACTTAAAATTAACATAAAAGCATAGTATTAGAAACAAACAAAAACACAAAACAAAACCACCAAAACAAAAATTAAAACCCTGTGCAAACAATGAATACTTCCAAATCTTGCCCAGTGACTCACAGTAATTAGGCTTTGTTAATTCTATTACAACAAAACCTATTCCTACGAACAAATCAATCAGTAATTTACTTTTCTGCTTAACAAAGTAATAAACTTCCATTATAATGAAAAATTTACCATATAAATAATTATTCTAAGAAAACACAAAAATAGTAAAGTCATTAAAAAATCCACACACAATGAATAATACACTGATAGAGGGCATTAAGGTTGATCAAATTGCTTCTCTATCTGTTGTACCATCTAATCTGAAAACAACTCTTGAGACACATGAAGCAGTTGGTATCAGTGCCATTTTACTATCTTCCTGAGGCTCAGAGGGATAAATGATTCTCTCTTTGGGTCACCTCAAGTTGGTCTAAAATATGAATCTAGAGTATATGACACCTGGTCAATGTCCATTCTTTCTTTTAGTAATGTTGTTTTAACGAAGCAGTAATTTTCATCATACAAATGTTAGAACCGATCATAAAAATGTTAGAATAGATGAGAAACATCACCTCCCTACACAGTGAATAATATTAACAAAAAACCTTAACTTTTCTTTGAAACAAAATGAAAGTAAAAGATACAACTCAAGTAAAAGAACAAGGAAAAATTTATTTTGCTTCCCTTAATGCTACGTTGAAAAAGCAGAAGGCTAAGTGGATTAGTTCAGTGGAATAAATAATTTTCTTCTTAAATTGCCATTGAATATTCCGAATGTGAAACTCTTAGAAGTAAAATTAACACCAAAATTTTTTGGTGCATTATCAGATTGCTCATCTACACATGCTTAGAGAAAATTTCATAATTTTTACTTTTTTTTGTTTTGGAGACAGAGTCTCCCACTGAAGCCAGGCTGAAGCGCAGTGGTACAATCTTGGCTCACTGAAATCTGGGTTCAAGTGATTCTCCTGCCTCAGCCTCCTGAGTAGCGGGGATTACCAGCACATGCCACCACCTCCACCTAATTTTCGTATTTTTAGTAGAGGCGGGGTTTCACCATGTTGGCAAGATGGTCTCAGTCTCTTGAACCTCGTGATCCACCTGTCTCAGCGTCCCAAAGTGCTGGGATTACAGGCGTGAGCCACCGTGTCCAGCTAATTTTCACTTTCAATGATATGACAGGATGTGATAAAATCATTACCTTAGGTGTGCTTCCTTTAATAAATTTTTTAATTGAAGATAACAAGCCGGTTTCATTCTTCGGTGGTTTTTCTCCTCCTGAAGGCAGGCTATCATCAACCTCTGAATATTTCCTCTTTGCTCTGGCAGTGCGTTGTGTTTGGATTTGATTTGACTGCTGAGAAGCTTTCCGTGTTCTCAGCCTCATCTTTTATGGGTGCCACATGTAAAACTGTAAGAGAAAAATAGTAAATGTAATAAAACATTAAAGGTTATTAAATTCAACCTATTGTACCCAAAAATGCTCAGCTTATATAATAAAGATATCTTGGCTAAAAAAACAAAAGTCGGCCGGGCGCGGTGGCTCAAGCCTGTAATCCCAACCCTTTGGGAGGCTGAGGCGGGTGGATCACGAGGTCAAGAGATCGAGACCATCCTGGTCAACATAGTGAAACTCCGTCTCTACTAAAAACACAAAAAATTAGCTGGGCTTGGTGGCGCATGCCTGTAATCTCAGCTACTCAGGAGGCTAAGGCAGGAGAATTGCCTGAACCCAGGAGGCGGAGGTTGCAGTGAGCCGAGATCGCGCCATTGCACTCCAGCCTGGGTAACAAGAGCGAAACTCCGTCCGTCTCAAAAAAAAAAAAAAAAAAAAGTCCTAGAATCTACCAGACTGTAGTAAGAAAATAACATTTTAAGTAAAAGGCATTATATATATTTTATTTATATTATTCCAAGTAACCCTCCCAACAACCTCTGAAATACTGTAATATACATATCATATGATTTAAAGTAAGGATAACACCAAAGAGTGTGCATGTTCTTTCCATAATACTATACTGCCTGCCAACATTACTATTTGTTTAATCATTCATTCAACAAATATTTATTCCATACTTTGTCACATTCAAGGCACTGGACCAGGTAAGCACTGAGTAAATAATAGACAAGATAGGAAAGGTTTTGCTTTTCTGGAACTCAGCAAGTGGTAGAAAAGTAATGTCAGTCAACAAATTCATTAATTCCACAAGCACAATTCTAATAATCAACAGTAATATACGTGTAACAACAGAACTTGGATCATTTTGAGAGAGTCCCATCTTACCACATTTAATGACACTTTTTTTTTTTTTGAGACGGAGTTTCGCTCTTGTTACCCAGGCTGGAGTGCAATGGCGCGATCTTGGCTCACTGCAACCTCCGCCTCCTGGGTTCAGGCAATTCTCCTGCCTCAGCCTCCTGAGTAGCTGGGATTACAGGCACACACCACCATGCCCAGCTAATTTTTTGTATTTTTAGTAGAGACGGGGTTTCACCATGTTGACCAGGATGGTCTCGATCTCTTGACCTCGTGATCCACCCGTCTCGGCCTCCCAAAGTGTTGGGATTACAGGTTTGAGCCACTGCGCCCGGCAATGATACTTTTTAAAACAATTCACATCAGAAAGAATACATGAGGCTATTTACTCGAGCTCCCTCGTTTTGTAGTTAAGATAATTAATTGCTGGCAAAATCATCCCAACACTTAGAATTAGTTAGAGACATACCTGAATTATAATCTGTAAAACAGAATACAAACAATACTAAACTAAGAATTAAGACATGGGAATTTTAATCCTACTCTAGTCATGGCTAATTTGTACAAACTTAGGTATGTTTTAATCACATGTATTAAAAATATATTTACCTTACTATCCTGAAGCTCAAAATGAAAAAAGGATTAGGAAAGGCTATAATGTGCAAAGGACAATAAAGCTATTCACTACAGCGGACACATTCACAGAACAGTCCAACTCCAATTAAGGACCCTAAACTCTAAAGGTACAGAAATTCCTGGCAAAGGTTAGAGTCTTAGAAATTGTTTTTACTGGATGGGCGTGGTGGCTCACGCCTGTAATCCCAGCACTTTGGGAGGCCAAGGCGGGTGGATCACGAGGTCAATAGATCGAGACCATCCTGGTCAACATGGTGGAACCCCGTCTCTACTAAAAATACAAAAAATTAGCTGGGCATGGTGGCGCGTGCCTGTAATCCCAGCTGCTCAGGAGGCTGAGGCAGGAGAATTGCCTGAATCCAGGAGGCGGAGGTTGCGGTGAGCCGAGATCGTGCCATTGCACTCCAGCCTGGGTAACAAGAGCGAAACTCCGTCTCAAAAAAAAAAAAAAAAAAAAAGAAAAGAAATTGTTTTTACTAACTCAACAGAACAATTCCTGGGGGGAAAAAAACAAACCTTTTTTTAAAAGTAGAAACTACAGGCTGGGCATGGTGGCTCACACCTGTAATCCCAGTATTTTGGGAGGCTGAGGTGGTTGGATGACCTGAGGTCAGGAGTTCGAGACTAGCCTGGCCAACATGGTGAAACCCCTTCTCTAATAAAACTACAAAAATTAGCTGGGTGTGGTGGCAGGCACCTGTAATCCCAGCTACTGGAAAGGCTGAGGCAGGAGAATCACTTGAACCTGGGAGGCAGAGGTTGCAGTGAGCAGAGATCTCGCCATGGCACTCCAGCCTGCCTGGGTGACAAGAGCAAAACTGTGTCTCAAAAAAAAAAAAAAGAAACTACATATATCTGTGTGTGTCTACCTCAAATTTTTGTGTCCCCTCCCCCTCCCCCACCAAAATTCAGGCACAAACCTAATCCCTAATGCAATGGTATTTAGAGGTCAGGCCTCTGTGACGTTAGGTCATGAAGACAGAACCTTAATGCGTTGGGTTAGTGCACCTATAAAAGAGGTCCCAGAGAGATGCCTAGCCCCTTCCACTATGACATTACAGTAAGAAAACAGTGATCTATGAGGAAGCAGACCAGACATCAAATCTGCCTGCACCTTGATCTTTGACATCTCAGTGTCCATAACTGAGAAACAAATTTGTTGTTTATAACTCACCCACCAAGTTTCGGGTATTTTTGTTACATCAGCCTAAACTGACCTAAGACACTCCCAAACTCAAAGGATTCACCGGAGAAGTCCCAAAATACCTTTCCCAATAACTATTTTTTCTAAAACCAAACAGTGCTGGATTTAAACTGCAATCCCACCCCCCGACCCCCCAAAAAAACTGCAATCCCCAAATGAAACAAATACTGCGTTTTTTCCCCTCTGAATTCCTTTGTTATTCAGCAAAGAACTCCCTAGAAAAGGAAAATTACTGTAGCAAATACATGGGAAAATTTTTAAAGCTTTTTAAATCAATTTCTGTGAATTTTTTTTTATAAGTGCCAGAGCCTGGCAAAAGAGCAAGACTCCGTCTACAAAAACATAAAACAAACAAACAAAAAGAAAACACTTTTCAATTGTACATGGAATGCTAAAAGAGATCTATATGTTGAACGATAAAACAAGATGCCATGAATTTCAAGAATGCATACAAAGTACGTTCTCTAACCACAACTATAAATCAATAAAAAATCTTTAAAAGTACTAAATACTTGGGAATTTGAAAATATATAAATAAATCATGAGTCAAAAAAAGAAATGGCAAGGGATACACAAAATATTTTGAATAAAAAAATAAACAAAATATAGTAACACATGAAAATTTCTGATGCAACAAGCAGAACTTAGAAATTAAATATAGGCTGGGCGCTGCGGCTCACACCTGTAATCCGAGCTCTTTGGAAGGCCAAGGCAAATGGATCATCAGGACAGGAGATTGAGACCATCCTAGCCAACATGGTGAAACCCTGTCTCTACTAAAAATAAAAATAAAAATAAATAAAAAATAGCTAGGTATGGTGGCATGTGTCTGTAGTCCCAGCTACTCAGGAGGCTGAGAGGAAAACTGCTTTAACTCGGTAGGCAGAGGTTTCAGTGAGCCAAAATTGCGTCCACAGCACTCTAGCCTGGGCAACAGAGAGGGAAAAAAATTCTAAATACATGTACACATAATAGAACCTCAAAATATGAGGAAATACTGTCAGAAATGAAGGGAAAAAGAGTAAGCTGCAGACTTCAATATCTCACTTTTAGTAGCAGAAAAAACCAGCCAAAAGATCAACAAGAAAAAAGAATATCTGAAATACTCTCTAGATGTAACATTATCTATTCAACACTCTAACAGCAGAATACTCTCAACCTACACATGGAACATTCTTCAGAATAGTACATATGTTAGGCCACAAAACAAGCCTTAATACATTTAAAACGGCTGAAATCATATGACAGTACAGGCATGCTTTGTTTAAATGCACCTCACAGATACCGTGTTTTTTATGAACTGAAGGGTTTGTGGCCACCCTGCATACAAGTCTTTTGGAGCTATTTTTCCAAAAGTATGCGCTCACCTCATGTCTCAGTGTCACATTTTGGTAATTTTCACAACATTTCAAACTCTTGCATTCATCCTTGATATTACTTTTTTTTTTTTTTTGTATTTTTAGTAGAGACTGGGTTTCACCATGTTGACCAGGATGGTCTCGATCTCTTGACCTCGTGATCCACCCACCTCGGCCTCCCAAAGTGCGGGGATTACAGGCTTGAGCCACTGCGTCCGGCCTGATATTACTTTTTTAATTGTTTTGGGGTGCCACAAACTGCACCCCATATAAGATGATGAACTGAATCAATTGTATTCTGACTGCTACTGATCATCTCTTCCCCATCTCTCTCCCTTTCCTTAAGCCTCCATATTCTGAGACAAGACAATTTAAAAATTAGGCCAATTATATCCTACAATGTCTCTAAGTATTCAAATGAAAGGAAGAGTCAAACATCTATCACTTTAAATCAAAAGCTAGAAATGATTCGGCTTAGTGAGGAGGGCATGTTGAAAGTTGAGACAGGTGGCCAAGTTATAATGCAACAGAAAAGTCACTGAAGGAAATTAAAAAGGTCACCAGGCATGGTGGCTTGGGCTTGTAATCCTAGCACTTTGGGAGGCCAAGGCGGGTGGATGACCTCAGGTCAGGAGTTTGAGACCAGCCTGGCCAACATGGAGAAACCCCGTCTCTACTAAAAATACAAAAAAATTAGCTAAGTGTGGTGAAGGGTGCCTGTAATCCCAGCTACTCAGGAAGCTGAGGTGGGAGAGTAGCCTGAACCCGGGAGGCGGAGGTTGCAGTGAGCTGAGATCACACCACAACACTCCAAATCGGGCAACAAGAAAAGCAAAGCAACCTTCTTGCTGATACAGAGAAAGTTTTAGCAGTCTGGATATAAAATCAAACCATTCACAACATTCCCTTAAACCAAAGCTAATCCACAGGTGAAGAAGCTGCACAAGAAAAGTCTG